TTCTATAAAATAATGAAGCATACATAAAACACACAGAGACACTTTAGTATGGTTTTAGCTTTGCCTTTATAAACAGTGAGGCTCTGTATGTACTGTGTGTAATCATATGTAGACCTACGTGATATTAGGTGACCCACAGCACAGGATACGTGGGAAGTACTGGCTTTTATACAACTAAATAATGTTGGGAACACTGGATCACCATCCCCTCCTCCAAAGAAAAACCCTGAAATATTAGACTTGGTTGAAATAAATCATTAAGGGCAAATATCCTATTTGGCCATTTTGGAATGATAAAGGATCACAAATAAAAATGGCTCTATAATGTGGACTCCAAAATCACACTACACACCTCGCAGTATACACAAATCTAATATAGTTAACAAACAGAAAAGGATTGTGTTGTGCTTGAAACAGTGCACAGGTCTTCAATGTTGTGTGTTTTTGCACTACTTTTCATCTTCTAAAATAGTTTTTAAAATAAACAGAGCAAGGTGAATGGTTGATAGCAAATCAGAGGGCAGCATTTCAATAATAGTTGACAACTTTAATATATCAGTCATAGTTCAATGAAACAGACTCAAAGCAGGAACATTACATAACTATTACAATTGTGATGGTGGTCAAATCCTTTTGATCTAACAGTTGCACATTTCCTAATATATTCCTCCACACTGAACTGGATGCTACAACATTTGCAACACTTTACAATTCTCACTTAATATATCGAACAAAAAAACTGGATAAAAATAACACACAAGTAGATTTTTAGCAAAATATAACATTAGACATTTTTTCTGGAAAACAATGCTGGCTTTTTTTTTGATTTTCTCTCTTTTTTTGTACAATAGGCACCACAACACCCAGCTTATTCTCCAGCCAAGTAGTAACCTTAAATTCATGCGATCTTTCCTTATTGTTAGCGTCTAAGACATTCTCTGGACATTCTCAGTCCACAAAATGTCTTACAGAAAGCTCTAAGACATTATCTGGACTTAGGTGACTATTGCAGTAAAATCCGTTTTTATATAAACCAGCAAGGGACAATTTAAAACAAAAAACCAGCTTGGAGTTAATATTTAAAAGCAGAACGCCAGGGAAAATTACTATTAACCCTCGCAGTAGGGCCTCCCCCACACTGCAAGGGCTAACTGCTCATTTATGTCTAGGGAGGAAAATAACAAAGCTCTACTCACTCCATCCTCAGAGCTAGCTGGCTGTGACAGCGCTCCCTCCAGGCTGTATCCTCCTCCTTTTCAAGCAATGGATTGTACCTTGGCGTCCTCACATTCTGTACACTGTGTATAGAACCTGATGACTCAGGGACCTTAGACCACTGCGGCACTTAACCCTTTGCCATGCGGGGTAGCCCCAAGGCAAGGGTTAATAATAACTGCAAGGGTTAAGTGCTCATTTTTGTCTAGGGAGGAAAATAACAAAGCTCTACTCACTCCATCCTCAGAGCTAGCTGGCTGTGACAGAGCTCCCTCCAGCCTGTCTCCTCCTCCTTTTTAGCAATGGATTGTGCCTCGGCATCCTCACATTCTATACACTGTGTATAGAACCTGATGACTCAGGGACCTTACACTGCTGCAGCGGAGGGGGAGAGAGTCTCCAGGGACCGGTCTAAAAGAAAGCCGGCTCACAGGCGAGTATGACTGTTATTTTAATAATAATTAATAATAAATAATAATAATAATTAAGTAGGGATGTTCAGATACCAAGTACCATACTCGGTACGAGGACAGATTCAGGTATAGATACTTTTCCAGCTCCAAGACTGCACTAGAGAAAAATGCAAGTTAGGAGGCAGCTGTCGTTTTTAAGGAGCACACGGAGCTCCTGGGAATTGTACATCTCTGTTTTAATGTTTGATTCTTTAATAAACATATATATGTGATGCACCGATACCATTTTTCCAAGTGCAAGTACTGATACTTGTCCAAGTACTCACAGATACAAGTACTGGTTCATTTTTGTTTAGTGTCATCTGACAATTTTTATAAAACAATACAGACTAATGATTTCAGGACAGTGGTGGGGAGCCAGAGCCAGGTCCCAGCTACAACCGCTGCAACCCTGGTAGTTCTCATGAAAATGCCAAGTATCGGCACTGGTATCTGAACATCCCTATAATTAACCACTAATTAATAATTGTTATATTACAATGAATGCAACAGGAGGAATGGGGACAAAACTTGTATCAATAATGCTACAGTCACTAAAAAATATAAAATGCCATCATGCGACTTAGCTCACGATGTTCCACCTTCAACTGAGATATCAGTATCTGTTAAAACTTACAGGTCACCTACAGAAATGGAAGAACCTATTTAATGCCCTGAGGCAAAATAGAAGACAATGCTGACTATTTATTTATCTGGAACAAAAGACACAGCTAAAGAATGCAACAGTGTTTCTACTAGGCAACTGTGGCTCAGCCCATGACATGTCTGCCTCCATTATTTCCACATGACTTGCACATGAGGCCAGATGTCTGTACATACATGGCAGAGCAGGGCAGCCATAACACTATAGGGCAATGGCATATACTCTCTATAGTGGAGCTAATTAATACTGTATTTAATGAAAACAACACCAATGTGAAATACTAAACAAATTGATCTAATATGACTTTTGCTTAGTGTTTTCAACATTATAAAAAGTTAGTTCCCATAAAAATATCTGACAAAAGGCACATTATAAATAAATTATGAAAATCTTCAGTGCCTGTATCTAAATATAGCAAAAAAAATAATGTCAGAATATTTCATTACATAATATGCATTTCAGGTGGGTGCGAAACTTTAACACAAAGCGCAAAAAAAAAATGAAAATGTGAAATGTTTAAATTGGAAGAAAGGCATCTGCATGTAAAAATAATTATCTAACTATATTCTTTCACAGTGCTTCTGATCAACATATTGTACTTTTACCTGTGACAATATTAAAAATAGCAGATTAAATGAAAACTATCCACAGCTTTTAAAAGTTTGCTAGGACACCTGTGGCTTCCAAATGGTTAAATAAACTATGATTTTTTTTTTTGTACATCTTAAAACAGGACCAGCTATAACAACATAAAACAATTCAACATTTTATGCAAGCAGAAACCACAATTACATTAAAACATTTGTTCCCCAAGCATTCTACTGTTACCATCTGTGCTTAAAAATGATCCAGCATTAGCATACTTCTCCTAAAATAGAGCTTTTTATATGTAAAAAACAGTGTAACCATGTCACTGAGGTTCAAAATTCGACCCAGGCTATTGTGAAGCTTTCACAGAGCTCTAGAGCACAGAGTACAGCTCCCAGTGCAGTGATGAGATAACAAATAATAAGTCCTGTCTTGTATATAGATCGGTGAGGACTTAGGCTAGCAGAAAGACCTAAGCGTCTTTTCTGATCTTATGGCAGGAAAGATGCACTTTCAGTCTAAATCAGCTAGATACATTCCAGGTGCACTAAAAGAAAAGGTGTGCAAAGTCCTACAGTTCATTTTTTTCATAAAGCAGCCACAGCCTGAGTAGAAAAGCCTGTCCCCTTGCCAGCGTGCTGCGGAAAAGGACCCTTTCTCTCAGGGTGGAAGCAGTAGTCTCCCTACAGAGGTCTCACATGCTTCTGCTGAGTCAAGCTAGAGCTCCCCAATCAGAAGGTAACATGAGCTTTTCTGATTGCAGAGCTATAGGTCTAACTCAGCAGGGGGTGTTTTGGAGCACTGCAGAAAGACTACTGATTCCTCACAAAGAGCAAAGGTCCTTCTCTGCAGCATCCTAGCAGTGGAAAGGCCTTTATTTTACTTTTTACCAGAATGCATTTAGTTATTTCAAATTGAAACATACAGCATATTGGATTTTAAAATGCACCTTCAACTTTCAAACAATATGAATACTGTAAGTCAGAGCAGTAAGATAATAATGAGCACTTTTTTCACATGTTTCTTTCTATTGTGTGTGTACAGTTGATAGAACTACCCATTATACCCTGCAGATAACACTGTTGTACAGTACAGCCTCCTTCACATCTGACAAATGGTGAAACGGTCGTAAAGAACATGTATGTAATACACTTCTAAACCTCTTTATTCAGGAACTCAGAGCACAATGTCAAAGTGCACCATATATAGCTGTACCGATTTAAAATGTATCATTCAACATAATAGTCCAGCTCTCATATGGGGTTATCATGTAATGCAATGCTGAGCTAAATCACTCAGGTGGGAAGGTGTCTTTATTTACAATCATTGTAGAATTCTTCCAGTCTAACCCTGGGGACCTGTATGGACCAGCGCTACTGATTTTTGCAGATGTTGTCATTGTAGGATACCCTCTTACAAACTTTGCAAAAGGGTCCAAGGAGCTGCAACACTCCATAATCAAATATGTAAAACGTTGTCTAATTTCAGCAATGTTTTTGCAATGGATTGCAGAACCTCTGAAGCAGACCTCATGTATGAATAAAGAATTGATATACTTTCATCATATCATTACTGTTTAAGCTGTTCTGTGTAGTGGCAATTGGGATCACAAGACTAGGAGTTTTTACCCATAAGGTCATTGTATTGATCTGACCTTACCACTCTCCACTGTGCATAACTTTGTACTGATGATATGGCTAGCAGAATCATTTTAACATTTCTCATAAGGTAGTATAGATAATTCAACAGCTTGTACAAGCACAGCAGAAAAGATGGAAAGTGAACACCATTTAAGATGTTTATTATCAAACTGCTCTGCCTTAAAATGTCATCATTAATGTCTTAAGAAGTCATCAGCAATATTGAATTATACTTTAAATAACACACACCATTTGATATAATGAATAATATAAAGCAGAAAAGATTTGTGTGAGCGCATAACTGTAATTAAAAGACTTCCCTGGAAATGTAACCCATCTTATGAAGGAAAGGTTTAAGCTTGTATAGGGAACATTCTACTATATGATGCTCAAAGGTTTACTTCAGCACAGAAAGAGTTAGCTACAACATAAAACAGTAAAAACGGAACTAAAATAAAAGGAAACGAAGGTTAAACTGTTTTTCTTTCACGCAGTGAAGGCCTTCAATTTCTTGCTTGGCATAGCAGGAGTTAAGCAGGTAGGGCCACAGAGGTAAGATGAGTGAATGGGCCCAGGGCAGTGAAATAGCAGACAAGCTATGGCATCAACTTAAAGTGTAGGGCGATGTCAGGGCAATTAGACTTGCACCATGCTGTACTGTGCAGCTCTGCTGTCAGCCTTAATCTGTGCTGTGATGGGCAGCACGAAATCATAGCAGCAGACCACAGGAAGCACAACCAGTGAATCCATATTGCTTTGACAGTTGCACTCATCTAGAAATAATGTAAAACGCTATTTAAATGTATACATCATGACCATGTGCTCTAGGAGGAAAACAATCTAATGAAGGGCTGAGGGACTAGAATAAAAACCATTGTGGTGAGGGAGCTGGGCAGAATCTGTACAATTTTCTTTTCTTTAAAATTCATCACTCTTTCTTCTGTTGGAGCGTCTGGTAGATACTGTCTTGCTTTTTGTGTTCTTGGCTTCCAAAGCTTCCTTGAAGAACCTGAATATGGAGTTGAAGCTTTTCCACGAGGTCAGCTCATGGCGTTCGGTGCCTGTGAGGACAGAAAAGAGGTGGGATGAGTAAGTGAGAACAAATTATTATTTATTTAATACAGGTATTTATATAGTGATGACAATTTACGCAGCGCTTTACATAGCTTCACATTCACATCAGTCCCTACCCTCAAGTAGCTTACAATCTAAGGTCCCTATCTCACATGCATACTTATGAGGGGTGATTTAGACTAGAGCCAATTAACCTACCAGCATGTCTTTGTGTGGGAGGAAACCGGTGTAGCCGGAGGAAACCCACGCAAGCACAGGGCGAACATGCAAACTCCCTGCAGATAGTGTCCTGGCCAGGATTCTGGTTGTTTTAAGGCACAGATGTCATACGCATCCAGATAGCTTTTATTATCACTTTCCTGACATCTCCCTGTGAGCCATTAGTAAGACCCAATAGGGTTCATGCATCATAAATGCCAGAATGCATCATAAATACCTACAGAAAAGATTCTATACCCACAGAAAGAAAGCATTTGATTAGCTGTAATGAAAGCCACATAAATGTCCTACTTTGTGCAAAGATACTTGTTTAAAATGCCAAATTACCAATGTATGAGACTTTTATATTTCATATAAAATACTATGATTTACTTTCCATGTAACTACAATGCTGGCGTTGTCTAGTACAACCACCTAGATTATGTATGTTTTATAGGGTAACTAAGAAACAGCAACAGTTTCATGAATTGTTCTGAAACACACCCATCATCTCTTCATAGGTTTTCATAATTCACTTTCATGATTCTACAACTACAGAAACTTGTCAAGCTCATGCCAGCTACTTTACATAACAACCTTTAAAACATGACTCGTTGTACATGTATCATTTATCAGGAATAAATACCATGCTTTACGTGCCAACTACAAAGAGATCCTGACGAATAATATTGGTGCTGAGGCGTGATATACAGATATTACATTGCATTAGAAATTGGAATAAGGTTTTCGGTGTTATCTTGGAAAAGAATATTGTCCCTTTGCCAAGAACAACTTTGATGTATTCTGTTACAATATCTTCTACAACAAAATGACGTACCTTATTTACAAAAAGGTGCAAAGTGCTAATTAAACGTAACCACCTTTCATATTATCACCTTTCGTAAATAAGAGAGGCTATTAATGGTGTCAGTTTTTGCAGTCAGAGGTGTCATTGTAACTTGTCATTAGTCAAACACACTGCTTAGTATTTCTAGAAGAAACTTTCAGACAGTGACGGCAATATCTTGGAGGTAAAAGGGCCCCTACACACAACTGTTAACAGCTGAGCATATGTTGCCGTACACAGCAGTGACTGGCATCTAGTGCTAAAGAACAACCTTCTGCTAAAGAATCTCTAGAACAGTAACAATAGATTGTTGAAACAAATATTTTACAACCATCACTAAAAACTTTTAGATTGTAACATTTTAACACTAAAGATGCCTACATGTTTCAGTTTAAAGATTTGTTTTTTCGCAGAATTTTCATATTCTGAGCAGAAGGTGGTCAGTTATTTTTTTAAGTTTACGTCAAACAAAATAAAAGTAAATAATAAAATAAAATTATTTCCATGCATTATTTAAGTTGTTACATACCAGCATAAAAAAACTTAGCTGTGCTTTGAAACATTGCGATTAATCAGAAATCACATTTCATTAGTCTGACCAACTATTATTATTGTTGTTAATATTATTATACAAGATGTATAAGGTGCCAACAGTGCCAAATGGAGGGAGACAGTACAGTTACAATACAATTTCAATACAGGAGGTTTAGGAGGCCCCTGCGTGCGAGAGCTTACAATCTAAGTAGGCTACAACTAACATTGCTTGTGGTTTGTATTGGGTAGCAATACATGTAAATCTTTAGTGTAAAGCATGCCATGCACGCAGTAGCTTTATTTATTTATACATTTTATATTTGAGAGTTGTTTTTTGTGCCAAATTCTTTAGATTTCATTATTAAAAAGAAATCCTCTGAAGTTACTTTAAAATAAATGAACTTTTTTTCCCCAGTTTGTGAGTCTAGCTTTAAAAAAACCTGAACAAATTAATTCAATGGTACTGCACAGCATACTACCCCATACAAAAAATGTAATATTTCCTCTACACCTGTTACGGCAGGAGTGAGGAGCCTTCAACACTTAAAGTACATGTGGCACCTAACGTTCTCCAGGTTTACACCTATACTCTAGAAAGCATGTTATGTTATTTCCCCGGGATTAATTTACAGATCAGCAGCATGTTGTAGTTATGGAAGTCCCACCCTCTGCTCCTCCAGAGACTCTTGATGAGAATACGGAAGATCGTGGACAGTTTACACCCACAGCTTCAGAACTAAACATAGGCTAACTTTCACATCGGAAAACTGTTTCCTCGGCTACCCAAGTAATTACTTTCAGTGAAAGCAAAACGCGGAATTTAAAATAAAAATCTTTATGAATTTGACATCTGAATACAAAACTGTTCACCTGCTGACAGATGAGAGTAAGATAGGGAGGGGAAATGATTGTGTTTCAGAGGGTAACAGTTAACACAGGCAGAATACATAGGTAAGGGGTTATGCAAACTTTGGTTCACTGAAAGTAACGTGAGAAATGTCTTCTAGTTCTTCAGCCAACGACGGAGGTTTAGGCCGATATAAAGAACACAAGGAATAGGCAGGACGCGGTGTGAGAGCGCCCTAAGCACAATGACTTAAGCTTGTCATTTTTATCACAACCTTCTTTATTTATGTAAATTATAATATAGAACAAAAAGCTCCGGCCAAAAAAAAATCTTTTTGTTTTGGGTAGAGTGGGAAAAGGTTAGAAGCTCACTTAGGTCTTTACTGTCGGTGTCTTCCTGTCTGTGCGACACCCACCTATCCCATTGATTTCTTGAAATCTCCCAAACATGATTTCGCAGAGAAGTTATATTCCTTCCAAACACTTTAAAAAACAAAAACAAAACAGCTATGGCCAGAGTTTGTATTTAATGCCAGTTTGAACCATGTGATTTTAAACAAGAGCTCCGGGCACAACTTTTTAAAACCCTTGCAGGGGGGCAACCCCTGCACTGAAAGGGTTAAGTGCTCACCTGAACCGCTAAGCCGGGTCCCCTGCTTCTCTGGTCTCTGAAGCCTGCCTTCTCCTATGCTGCAGCATTGGAATGTTCCTCAACATCTTCACGTCTATACAGTGTATAGAATGTGATGATTCACGGGGCCTAAGACTTCAGCTGAGGAGGGGGAGAGAAGATGGAAGAATCTGTCTAAAAGCAAGCCGGCTGGGAGCATTGGGTGAGTATAACTCGCCCAATAACAAAAACTAGCAGTTAACCCTTGAAGTGCAGGGGTAGCCTCACTGCAAGGGTTAATAAAAAGCTTTGGCCAGAGTTCCTCTTTAACCACTTGCCGTCCGTCCGTCCGTAAAAAACGGACGGACGGCACTGCAGCATTGGTGGGCTGCTGTCTCCAGACGGCATTTTTTTTCTGCGGGCGCGCACGGGCAGAAAAGACCCGACCAATGCACCAATACGTTACCGGGTGATAATAATATTATTATTAATAAAAATAATAACAACACCACAAACAACAAGTCCCTAAGGGCAGGCAGCAAATAGTGAATGTGTGTACCTTTAGCTATGACTACGGGTGACTATACACATTACAGCATGACTGTACAATCTCCTTTACACTTACAAAAACCATGTCATATAAGGGACAAAGCTAAACAATCTATTCGGTATGGATCCAGTGAACAGGCCCTTACATTATATAGTTGGTGGTAGATCAAAAGGGAACTGCACAACCAAATTGTATAGTATATGGTCAGCTTAAAGCTGCTACTTCTTCTTTACAACTTTAGAGCCCCTGAACCTTGCCATAGGCCAACACACACCTCAACTTGAGCTCCAAATCAGAGGTATAGCATGCTCCACCTAATTTCTAAATTGCAAATGCACCTCACTATTAGCTACTGAAGGATTTCTATTATTTGCTTAAATTCCCTAGTAATAATAACATTTAAAATACATGTTCAGCATGATGAGATTTATAAGCAGCAAACAATTCTGATTTCCCAGTAAATATTTAAATAAAAGACTCTGAAAGTGCTCCAAAACTTTCAGGTAGTGGATTAGTAGAACGGGGGGAAAGAAATGGTAGTCACTTACACATTATAATCACCTCCGCCTCTGCACCTTGCTGTACTAAGCATGAAATGATTTGCCCTCACGGGTATATAATTATGACATGTAAACAAAGTAGGCGCACCTGCAGATACAGCATGCCAGAGGAAATTATTGTATTAGCACCATCAAAATAAGAATGATGCCTTGAAAGTAGGAGAGATCATACAGTTATTTTCAGATGAATCATGCACCACTGGATGCCTATACCATAGTACAGACACAAAGTGATCAAGCCAATAAAAACAAATCAGCTACTTTTCATTGTGTAACATTGCTTTTTTCCTCTTTGTGCATTATAAATCACACACCATACGGAGCTGCCGAGGCTGTGGGTATCGCCATACTCTCTGGATGGCATCTGGCTTGTGAACACCACTCAGCAGCAGGGCCTGTCCCAGGAAGGCTGACTACAGTATGTCACAGCCTCAGCTGCTCACAAGCACAACCATTCATTCCCCTTCTGCTCCGAGAAATCTCACACGCAGAATAGCCGAGAGTTATTTTCATTTTAATATCTGACTCCAATCTGTATATGTGGCAATTACACTTTCCCTGCAGAAAGAGAAGACCATAATCCAGGGCACAGCAGTATAAATGGCTTAAACATTATGAGCATACACTGCACGTAGAGGCAATACGCTGAGACAGAATCCCCACCTGCTTTGTCAGTTACAGCAAATATATTCAAAAGGGGTGGCAGGTCATAGGTCTTCAAAGCATGTGACTTTGCTCCTTAGTCTCCTGCAGACAGACTAGTGTCTGAGCCTGATCTCACTGTGCATATGAAATAGTTGGGTTTATATTCATCCTCTGTGGGTGCTGCTTGCACTAGCTTA